GGGGGGGAGCGTGAATTGACCGTTGGGGAGAGAGTTTCTGAGTTGTTCTCGAATTTTTTTTTCATAGCTGATCCTTTCCATTTTGAGGCAGAACCCAATGGGGTGGGGGGTCGGATTCTGGTCGATGGGGAAACGGGAGGGCAAAATTTTACGCAACGTGATGCTGTGAACTGCTCGCAATGGAAAAATGTGCCCCCAAAGCATAATGCCCTAGCTTCTACGATAACCAGTTATCATCACTCAGCACAATCCCCCATGAAAACAGCTCATCTACTGGCCCCTAAAAGATCATTGACTTTTTCTCGTAGCTCATCAAAACCACACACGCTATATGGCGAAGGTATAAAGTGTGCCAAAAAATCAGCCATGAAGAAGTGATAGAGCAGAGAAACGACCGAGACAATCGCTAGTGTTGGTTTATTTCAGCCGAGAACTAGGGCCCTGCGTTTCTGGTTACCAGCTTTGAGTCACGAAATGAGCATCCATGATTAAGGGCAGCCCCATTATACAGGAAGGTTGTTCCCACGGCACGTCCTGTCGGTGAAAAATTTGCAACACGCCTGCTCCAAATTTCCTCCCCTCATCCTCTATGCTACGTACCATCATTCTGAATTCTCCCGACTTCCTAACACTTTTTCCCAGTTTTCTAGCTATTCCTCCAAGAAATTGCCGTAAAGCGGGGAGGGAGGGAGGGGAAGGATAAGGGAATGCATCAAACTGCTAAATTCAGCAAATGAAAACAGTAGCTGTATGCGACTTTGCCTGCGCTTTATGGCACATTTGAAACGGGAAAAATGCGAAAAGTCAACAGCCGGAATATTTTCTCGTGCAGGAAAAAAGGTTTACTAAGGCAGAATACTATCTCCTCTTGAAGCGATGAAAATACGATCTCCTCCACTCCCCTCTCCTCGGGGTTTTCCCAACGTTGCAGATAGAGTGCATGGAACAGAAGGATTCCGACTATCAAAAAAATTTTTCAGGCCAAAAACCACCCCTACTGAGGATCCCCCTGCGCAGGGCATGCCATGATTGCTCTACACCTTCGAATAACATGCCTCTGAAAGGGTAGCATGCCCCCGTCAATGCTTTCCATTCGGAGAAACCTATAAGCCCTTTCTCGCCAAGCCCCTTTTCAAATTACATTAATACATATGATACGTCTCACTATCGTAGCGAGAATTCGCATCATATGATATCAAGCATATTCCATCGGAATGTTATGCACATTTCTACAAAAACCTTATTTGTAATCAGGGCGACATTTTAAAAAGATTTATAACAAAGGTCAATTTATTCACTGTTCGCTAATGGAGAGGAATTGAATAAGCAGCAAAAATATATGGTAAAGGAACGGGCAGAGTCTATCTAATTCCAAATTCTCTCCCGACAGACACCTCACAAGATATATGTCCGATGACACTGAGAAAACGCAACCGTTTTGCTACGATACATCGGCGCGTCACTTGAAGCGCGGCAGGTGGTGATGAAGTAATAATGAGACGCTTACCACGCGCATGATCCAGTAACGACGGTCAATAATCAGGATTCCGTGCTGTGAGGTCAAGCGGCGAAAGTCCTTCTTTCCCTGGGATCTATGGTCAATTGGTGACAGACTTCGTCGCTGGGAGCTAAATAATGACCGTTATTGTACACGGTCGACAAACCCCCCCCCTCCGCTATCACACTTGACACACTCTCATCGTCACATGTACTTTTGACACCTTTCCGGTTTCGCGTGGTTGACGCCAGGCGCGAACTCCTTCCTTAACTGCAGGCTTTGCCTGGATTTGCTTGGCTTCATCGCGGATCGCACCTGCCTGCTTGAATGCTCAACTAATGAACGGCTTTTCTCTCACTCACCCGCGCGCTTGATCAACGCTGTTTATCACCATTTCACAGACGGTTGTAGGGTCGTAGATAGCAGGTATGATGATATTGGTCAAGGAGCGTTGACCACGTTTATAGATGAAAGAAAAGCTGAGTATCCAAACATGTAAAAGAGAGTACGCGCAGCGAAGCCGGGCTGTACTACAGAACAAGGCGCGCCGGGGTCAGCCGGCGAGCCAACTGGTGAAATATAGCGTAGTAAGCAAAAATAACGATATGGTAGAATCGAAAGATGACGTACTTATTTTGCACTTCACCAAAGCTGACAGGGGATCATGATGACTTTCCGTAGTGTAGTCAAACTCAAACCTATCCGACAGTTGAGACAACTCTCGTCGAGCTGCTTCGGGAATCGATGGTTTGCTCTAAACAAATGTATTTGTCTTGAGAACGAGCCCAGGCTATGGAAACAGAACGAAAACAAACCCCTGGTGGTTGCATGTTGCCAACAGCTTCCAAGGGAGTGGGGAGGAAATCGTCCATATTATAGAGGTCGTCAACACCAGGCTGCTCAGCAGATCCTGCACTTCCAGCACTACCGTTACCTCCACCTGAACCGCCAACATTTGTCGTAGTGGTTGAGGTAGCAGGGTTCGAAGAGAGCGGTAGAGGGCCTCTTGCTCCCTGGCTCGAAGCTGGAAAATATACGATGTGTTAACAATTTCTAATTAAGGAGTAAATAAAAAAGAAGATATTCACACTTACATAAACCAGCTGGAGTTGAGGGTGTGTTCATCATTGGATCCATGGAATTGACTCCCATTCGTGAAGGATCTACTGGTTGTTGCATCGGCTGAAGAACTGGTGGAGGTCGCATCTGCGGTCGCATGGATGGATATGGCCGGTGGTGCTCAACCGGTGACTCCCTGTAGGTTTGCATTGGACCACCACCTGCGGACTGATTCATCGGAGGTCCCATCATCAACCCTGAACAACCACTATCTTTCAGGAAAATTTACGATAGGATACTGTACAACTTGGTCGCCAAATGTTGCACCTTTTCGCTAAGACTTCTCATTTTTCTCTTTTTTTCCAAGCATAAATTCAATCAGTAATATTATATCTGCCAAATGTCACTAAATACCGAACCATTTCCAACGAGACAGGGCAGGAGCATCCCTGTAAAGCGCGAGAAGGTAAGGCGTTGGGAAGCCAAGACGTGATCCTGTCAAAACGAGGTGCTGTTTTCGGGCAACTGCATTTTCTCACTGCACAAACTGCAACACCGTGCCTTGTAGCCTCTAGCAACATGGAGTGTGGTTGCTGCAAATCACGAATGGGTCAAATCGAACAAGCCCTCCCTCTCCATTAGGGCAAGCCATTCCTATGCTATCTACGACTTTCCTGAAAAAATACGACCCCACTTCTAATTCCATCCTCAAATACGACCCCCCCCACCCCTTCCCATGCTATCTACGACTTTCCTAAATTTTCCCAACTTCCTAGCCTTTCTCCATTTTTTCCTCGAAGAATTTCCAGTTTTTCAGTCAAGAATTTCTCGTCGAGCGGAAGGGGGGAGGGGTGTATAACTAATCGGGATCATCAGGAATTAACCATCATTTTCAACTGCTGGAGATAGTAGTTGTATAGATCTCCGGGCCTCTCCCAACAACTACCAAATACGACCCCCCCCCTTTATAGTGTCCGTGAAACAAGTGAAATCAACTATTAAAAAAATTTGTATTCTATTGTATTCTCTGACCAAATAGCCCCCCCCCCCCTCCCTCGCGGTCAAATAAGACTCCCACTTGTGATCATGTAAGGATGATGTGCCCTGCTCTCCATGCCCCATCTTACTTATGATCGCCCTGAATTCTCCCAACTTCCAACCATTTTCTTACTATGTTTCTGCCCCTCCCCTTCCCCAAAGAGAAACTGACGTAGGGTCGAGAAAGTCCACAACGGAAAACATTTTCTTCAGAAGCGAAACACCCCCCATGCCTCCATCCAGCGATCGAACACGATCCCCTCGCTGGGAGTCCCCAACGTACGATGTGCCCTATTGCTCAAGCACCTCGGCGATGAAAGATCACTAAACATTCTTGTGACGTTGAAACTGCTAGACAAGTTCTCGCTTAGGAAGAACATTTTGGATTGGAACGTTTCATCTCCCTAGCAAATCATCTCAACTCTTTTTTCTGCCCACCTCCCTTCTCCTTCTGTAGGTGATGATCAAAAGCTGAAACTTTGCCGTCTTGTTGCTTTTTTCCTTTTCTGCACACCATTTGAGGGGAGATGGGCAAAAGAATCGTTAATTGCCGCTTCGTCGCGCGCGGCAATGGGCGCGACTTTTCTTAATTTGCAGTACCCTTTCAAAGGATTATTGGACTTTCATGAATTACAGGGACATGGTAGACACCTATGTCTATTTTTGGTCATACATTGTCTATTCTCGACCAATACACCTAAAGTCGTCATTAGCGAGGCGCGACGTCGCACGCGACGCCCACTGGCGCGGCGAATTACGACTCTACGGCCACATACCCCCGCATGAATGAAGAAAAATGGACCAGAAAGATGCTTGTAAATTGTTTGGCAATGCTTTATGTCTCGGACCCACCTTGTTGCATGTGTTGTGGAGGTGGCCACATTTGTTGTGGATGCATAGGTGGATAACTGCCTTGGTGCATTGGGGGAGGTGGATAGCCTCCTTGTGGAGCGCCATACATTGAAGGATGGTGATCGGACGATGCATTCAAGACAGCATTGATCCCGTCAACCATTCCTTGCCCAGCCATACCCATATGACCATTTTGCATGGCTGCCGCATGAGGATTGTGAGTGGTTGCTGCCTGAAAACATCTCGACTTTTTAATTGCATCTCTTGAACCACGGCGCTGAATTCCTTAAAAAACCAACCAGGAAGTCAGCCTTTTTGTGAATCCAATTTTCAAGGTTCAACAGATATTCCAGACTGACGACACGCCTGCCTTCCAACACGCCAAGCATTGTCTCCAATTTCTGGGCGGCCTCCATATTTCCTTCCATGCGACACTGCTGTGCCCGCAGCCTAGAAAATCAAGTTTATAGCAGCGAACAGCAGAACCAACCGGTGCGATACGAAGATCTTGAGAAATAACAGACATTACTGCTAAAACTAGGCATAAAATGTCGAATAATGTGAAGGAAGTACAGCAGTCACCGCAATACTGCCTTTTATACTTTGTAACTCCAAGCATGGAAAGCCAAGAAACTTACTTGAGATTCTCGCAGTACGGTCTTAGCATTCGCAGTTTTTGATTGTAGACCTGTTGTTGGTCATGTTGCGGGTCCATGGATCCTCCCACATGTCCTCCAGGTCCCATTTGTGGATTCGGACCACCCATCATCATTTGAGGGTGGCGATTTACCTAAACAATGACGATTCATGCGAGTGACAAACTGTTACGTGTACAAAAACTATCGCTTCATAACAGAAGTCGCGGCCAGAGAGGGTATTAGAGAGTAACACTTGAAGGGCTCCCTTTTACCCCGAGCACGTCGTAATGTAGGGGATCATCAACGAGAGGGGTCGCGGTGGGGAAGGGCTTGTTGGTCGGCGGAAAGAGGGAACTGGTATCTGCTATTGAGAAAATGCTTTTGGTTGTTGACTTTTCTTAGTTTTCCCGTTTCGACCACTATTCTGCCCTCGTTTTGGGAAAAAGCCGAAAATCTTCCCGATAGCGGAGAAAATCAGGAAAATGGCAGGCAGGATGGAGGATGGGGAAGCGGGAGGTCTACCTGAGGGAAGGAATGCAAGGGGGTTGTGTTTTGACCACCCCCCCCCTCCAGGGATATCCCTGACTGACGACGTACCTTGAAGAAACATGCAAAAGGTACTTGCGTCTCCACAACCTTAGCCCCCTTCTCTTGCATAAGATCATGCAAATAGTACCAAGCAAATAATGACCCTTAATAATTTTAACATATGAAACTCCAGAAAACCTGCCTGATGGGGAGTAGACGGATATTGAGGTTGATTGATAAGCGCTTCTAAGACAGTCGTTTGGCCACTTGAAGGCGGTTGTTGTCCCTGTTGTTGTGGTTGCCCGTGATGTGGCGGCATCTGCAAAATTTATATCTCGTATATACAGCAACTGGATAGGAGGTCACTTATTTACCCTTCACTGCTTCATAATTAAAAAATTTAGGCTAGATTTTGATTCAAACTTGTCTCCGTGAGTAATACCGACCACAAATTCGTCACGTGGAGTGTGCGGCTATTCCAACACTCATATCATCCTTCTACGCCAAAATCGCCTTACGGCTGCGCTACTGGCATCCCAAAGGACAGTTTGACCTCTTGAGCACAAACATAGCATTTGCATTGCGCCAAAATACTGGGTAGGAGTCAACGCTGCCCTGTCATTACAACGTTTCTGGGCACTCAAAAAATTTGAATTCGAACGGGTACAATGCCCATGCCCCTTGGTCCTGAATACTCCATAACAAAGTTTTTTTTTCAATTGCTAGCAAAGTTGAAACCACCAAGCTAACTATCAACCAACAAAATTAAGCCTTCCATACCTATTAGGATGAATATCGTCAGTGTCTGTTTGCATTTAAACACTACTAGGGAATGTTTGAAAGCGCATTCAACCCTAACAACGACTTACTAGGGTTATCAAAAGGTCAATTTTTGCAGCCACTCAGTATCAATGACAAAAAGACAGAATCCAGAAGACATTGGTACACCCACTGTTCTGTAAGTAATGGCCACGCCACCACTGCTCCTTCAGCCGAAGCCTAGAGTGCAAGAGAACTGCGTGATTTTCCGTGAAAAGACTCAAAAACTTTTTGCTTTCCACTGCCCCTTATTCCAAGTGCAAGCCAGATTTTTATCAAAATGGGTCCCCAGGGTTGGATTTCGCTATAATTTAGTACGCAAAGGCTGTTTGATTCGCTGAACACAAAAAGCACATCTGTTTGATATAGAAACGCTCAAACGTGCCAAAACATCTCAAGTTACCAAGTTCGCGGCAAGCCTGTTCTCAGGGTGGTTTGATTCCCTAGGTACAAACGCACACCCGCTTTAAATGTAAACGCTTGGCGCTGGAACAAGCCGCGAACACACGCCTACATCGCGTGTTACAGAAGTTCCTGCGTCATACGGAAGTGAACTCGTGTTCAGCAAGTAAAACTACCCACCTGGACAAACCTCTGAGCAAATTTACCACCTGGACAAACCTCTGAGCAAATTTACCGCAGAGGACACGCTCTGAAGAAATCGAACCATATTCGAGCAGCGAGGTGAAGGCGGTGTAGAAGACAAATGGTGCGCTTACCACCCGCACGGTCTGGTGGGGGGTGGGGTCCGATCCCGGATCAGCTCCCGCCCA